CTATCTGCACTAGCCACATTCTCAAGGAAACCAACGACCTCCAAAGCACGGCAGAGCGGATGCTGACGAAGGGCCTGAAGAAGCTTGCACAAGAGCTGCGGTTGGTGTGCGCGAGAATCCATGAGACCTTGGCCCGATTTGTTGAGGATGCTGTTGGGTTGGCATGGGGATCCACCCCCAACTATGATCCCCCTGATCTGGCGCCGCTTGAGGTATGGCAGGATAGTCTCCACAGTTATCTGCTCCACCAAGGGGACATGCACGATGCTTGGGAAGCAATGGCGAGCACAGCGGACGGCTGATTCGTCTGATTCTGCTGCAATGCAATGGAACTGAAGACCCAGGCTCAGCAGAGTCACGCACAAGCCTGAAATCCCCGACCACAAATCTATGACGAGCCAACGCCCTTTTGCAGCCTTTGCCCATGGGACCTGCAGCAGATCGCCACGGCCTCGCCAAGTGACAGGTCGAGCTGCCGCCAGCTCCTGAGCTGCATCCTGAGCAAACAAACTTTCGCGAGCTTGGGAAGACAAGACCCTTCGGACAGGAGTGGCATCTTGCGAACCCAGCTTGGCTTCAAGACGAGGCTGCGGACCCTTCAGCTGCACAACACGATATGCCTCCGATGATACCTGAGGCGACGCAAGGGTCTGAGGGTGTTGAGGCAAGGGGGAGTCACGGGGCGTCGGTAGGGGAAACCCTAACTTACCCAAAAACTCCCTATCCTCCCTACTTGCATCCCAGAACCCTCGGTTGGTATACACTGTAAGCGCCCATCGCTCGCCCTGAAAAGGAGCGGTTGCATGCAACCTAGAAGGCGGGAAAATGCAGGGCTGGAGACGAGTGGGCAGCACACAGCCCCACAACGCAGAGCCCTCAGGTGTGGGCAAAGCATCTGTCCCGCTGCTACACTGGATCCAGAGCCCGCCCCCTGAAAAAGGTCCAAGCGAAACCGAACCATTCAAGGATCCTGACATGTTGGAGTCATCTGAGTGAGGCGCAGCCAACTCATTGTGAGAGATAGCAATGCTGGACCACTCTAGCTCCGGAAAACACGCGCAAAGAAATGTGCAAAGCTGAGTCACAACCTGAGGCAGCTGCTTCGTCAGGGCAGTAATGCCATTGCGAGGGCTGTGGCTGAAGTGACCCAGTATGAAGTAATTGGCATTAGCGGACTCCCGAAGCACATCTCGCCTATGGTTGGTCACAGGCTCCCGGAAATGCTGGTCCAAGAGTTGCACACATGCCAGGCCCACACTTTCAGGCACAGCACACCCTCGCGAAGCAATCCCCTGCAGGAGAATTGGAATAGCATTAACAACCCCCTTGCCTGTGACCTGGGCGCCCCCACGGGGGCCAGAGGCGTCCCTGTCTCAAAATGGATGATTCAGGCGGTTGTGCTTGGTGCTGCCGCATGCTGCACCTGAGGCTAGCCTAACATCGCAGCCGTGAACATCGCCGCAGTCACCGCTGCAGCCTCTGCCGTCGTTGAACGGCTTACAGAGGCGCCTGCCGCCCTTGAGGGTGGACACCGTCTGCACCTGGCTTGAGGGCCGGCTTGCCTTAGGGGGTGTTGGGATATCAAGCTCGAGCCCCTTGCGCTTGCGATCGTCCTTGACGGGTGTTGCAACCGGGGCCTGCCCTTTGGACACAGGGCTGCGCCACTCCAAGTGCGTTTCATGCAAGGCTTCACGCAGGCTGTGACCCGCCGACCAGCCGCGGCGAACTTTAGAGGCCATGAGCCCTCTGGTCAAGGTGTCGTTCTTCTGCAACCATGCCAGCGAGCCACCCCCGAACTGAACAGTGTCCCTCAAACAGCTGTCAGCGTAGTTGATGGCATCGTCGAGCTTGATCATGCGCCGCTCCACTGAGTCCGGATCAGTAACCATATAGTTACCTGCCAGCGCCCAAGCGTTAGCCAATATGCGCAGCCCAAAATAATAATCGATGATTGTGTTGACTGACTGCAAGGCCTCCTTGGAAAAGTGAAGCGTGACAGAGCCCTGAAGGGTAACTTGCTCCTGAGATGCCGGTGATGTGCTGGATAGAACGCTTTTGATCTTCTTGACCTCCAAGACTGTGAGACTCTTGCGCCTGAATTCTCTGAAGATCCTCGCTCTCAGAGTGTCCGAGGGCTCAAGGTGTGGTTCAATGGAAAACCCGTAAGCCTGCTGCCAGTCCCGCTGCAGCTGTGCCTGCTGCTGCTCCGGCAGTGGGTCATCATAGTCGTCGACTTTGGCCGCAGGGGACTGCGACATCTCAATGGCTTTCAAACCACTCTCAAAAGCGCCACGGAATCTGGCCAGGATAAGCCTGCTATCTTTCAGAGAAGGCACCTCATCAAGGAGAGATTTGAC